TGAACTTTGATCAGGAGTTTATTATTTGAATGGATGCATCCCTTTCCGCTGTTGGGGCAGTACTTTCTCAGAAAGATGACGATGGAGAGTATCACTCTGTAGCATACTGTATATAAAGTCTGAACTTCCATGAGCGTAATTATACTGTGACTGAATGGGAGTGCTTAGTAGTGATATATGAATATAAGCAATTCAGAGTCTATCTGCATGGGGTAAAGTTTAAAGTTGTAATAGATCACGTGTCATTATGCTGGTTGCATAACTTCAAAGAGACTGAAGGGCTTTTGGCTTGATGGGCTCTTAAGCTGCAGGCTTATGACTTTGAGATCCTTCATCAGCCAGGAGTAAAGCATCAAAGCGCTGACTGTTTATCTCAATTGCCGATTGTTGCAGTGACAGCGGACCTCAGTGACATGATGTACAATAAGATGCTCAGCGGAATTATGATGATGAACCACCCCAAGTGATCAAAGCATTAAAAGAGATGTGAATGAATACCCTACAACAGAATGGGGAACTTTAAAAGTGGATCAGTGATTCTATGGTGAATTTTCCACGACCCTCAGAATGACCAGGAATTATTATGAGCGCACACAAGGCAGTTGGCCATGGTGGGGTGCATAAGACTATGGAGTTGCTGAGCCCCTGGTACTATTGGAAAAGTATGAGCTTTGATGTGCTCAAAGCTATTTCCTGTTGCCATCAGTGCCAAGTAGAAAAGCCGTACAGCCAGAAGACCTCATACCAATTAATGAAGCTGCACTTTGCTTGGCATATGGTTTTCCTTGATGTCGTTGGTCCTCTGCCAATGAGAGCTAATTGGTCCAAGTATATTCTGGTGGCAATTTTCCACTTGACCAGGTGGGTTGAGGTGAGGGCCATTTGGGATCTGGCGGCGGTTGCTGTGGCTAAGTTTGTAATGGAATGCATCATTCAGCATCACAGCTGTCCGCAGTTCATCCTTACCAAAAATGGCACTAATTTCACCTCTCACATACTTCCCAAGCTCAACGAAATGATGGCCATCCGCAGGGCTCTAACAACCCCATATCATCCCAAGTCCAAAGGAATTGTTGAATGGGTTAATGGGACCCTGGTTAACATACTACGGAAGTTGGTTACAGATAGGCCCTCTGATTGGAGAACCCTCCTTTCTACTGCAGTGTCCACCTACAACATTAGCTACCATTCTGCTATAGGGAAAAGCCCATTTCAATTGCTTTATGGAGGGCATCCCGCTCTGCCCGAACTTCTATATGTCTGTGTGGAGGAATCTGGTGGAATGGATCTGCAACGCTATTTGACCACCCTAATGAATATGCTGATTAAACTACAAACTAAAGCATACTTATTAAGCCTAGCCAAGAAAATCAAAGAACAGGCTGATGATCAGGTACAGTGAAGTGGTCTAGCACAGTTCAAAGATGGAGACATGGTCCTATTCCATGATCAACATGGGTTTGGATGGAAACACAAGTTGGCCAGTATATGGATTGGGCCATTAGAAGTTATCGAGAAGACAGGTGTGGACGCCTATACTATCAAGGACCCCACTAGCAGTTGGATCATTAACTGAGTGCATGTAAAGTTCCTCTGGGTGTATAAGCAATAGGATCCTTATCATCTGGTCAAAGGGGGGGTAATGGCATGATTCGATATGACTGGATGATAATCCCTAATTACTTATGATGGAATGGATAGAATCCGCTGAATTTAATATGAGTAATGATTATTTAAGCGCCTCGAGAGGAGGCAATATTGGGTTGTTGGGAAATCGCCTCAAATTAGGCGATTATGAAATTAATGAATGAAGAATGACAGAACCAATGAGATATGGAGAATTGAATTACTAAGCCCTGGAAGCGGTAGCATCTGAAGTCACTACAATATAGGTGAGATAAGATGATTAAGAGGGGTTTTTTAATAAAGTTGAGAGGAGCAAAACAGCGAGGATCCTCTGTGTTTGATATATTAAATAAAGAAGTATAGTGGGAGCAAGTTCTCTATATTATTGAATTAGTTTATTTTGTTGTTTTTAAGGGCAACGATTATCATATTGTTGGTCCTTTTGCTCAGAGGGCCAAACCCTGTGCAAAATTTCTTATGGCGTATATTAACGATTCCACTAATTATATAATATCTGGCTTGCTCTGAAAGTTGCGTGGCATATGGTTTATTGACAAATTCATTAATATCATTTGCAAGTTTGGCACGCTTACTGTTATTTACTGCTATTACTTGGCAGGGAATAAATTTATCCTGTTTTGGAAGGGATAGATGGCTGCTCAATAGATATTTCTCTTTTATTATAAAAATTTCTTTTGCCTAGTCCTCATCATCCACAGGCAAAGCAATGCAGTTAATATTGGGCTGTTTTTTTGGGGTAGCTAGCAGCATAGTCTTTGTGAGATTTTATTTCCACAAAATTACTTCAGAGATTTCTTTTTAAGGAACAGCGTTTTTATGTTGTGGGTAACAAGTCCTTGCTACGTTTTTAGTTTCACCTTGATGTTGATTAAAGTGATTGTCACGTAACTCTACGTTGGTTGAACCAATTTTTTTCTCACATTGCTTCAAGTACTTAATAATTTCTTTGGGTCTAAGTCCTTAACTATTGAAGGCAATAACAAATAGGTGAAGCTCAGAATAAGCTTTGGTAGCGTTCTGAAGGGCAATGCTTATGTCAAATTTAGCCATGGTCTTCTCTCCCAATAAAACCTGCGCCTCATGACAAAATCAGTCAGCAAACTCAGTGATGGTCTCGTTCTTTAAGAACGGGATAGTCAAAAATCTGGCCTTGCAAGTGTCCATGTTCTATAAGCTACCAGAATTTTCGTAACATGGCGTTCTCTACATCTGTAAAACTCCTGTTGTACTTGGGAGGTAAGTCATAACCAAATGTATACTTTGGACATCCATATAATAAATCGTAGTGATAGCTTTGAAGAGATCATTGACTCCATGCATAATCATCCTGAACATCTTTTAAAAAGACTGAGCATTATCATCACGATCAAACTTTGAAAAAGTATCAGGGTGAACTTCTATAGAAGTTTGAATGACATTCCTGGAGCTTTAGTACCTAAGGAAGCTTAGGAAGATCCAACATTGAGCCCATTATTATCTTGTTCAATGTAGAGACCCTGATCCTGAGCCGGATTTTAGAGGACTGAGGTAAGGCTAATAGTGCAGCTGGCATAGTACTCTGGGTTTGACTCAGTAGGAAGGACACAGACCCCACTTCTGATTCTTTATCCTCAAATGGTTCAGGTCTGACTTGAGCTAAAACTTGAGTTTCACATTTGCAGCGCCCTTCATTTTAAATCAGCTTAGATGCGCCATTATCAAGTGAGTTGTTACTTCTGATCTTGTTCTATTTGCTGCTTAAATTGTTTTAGAAAAGCAACTTTAGCTTTCAAGTGAAATATAGAGGTTATGAGTTCTGCACTTTCAGTTTAAATTCTTTTCAGCATCCTGAATTTTCTGAATAATACAGGAAAGATCCTTATTAGCGTTTAGTACATATCCTAAATCATTGTGTAACATGAGGCAGGCATCCTTAAAGGAATCATTATCCTGATGCATGGAGGCCTTCTGGAGTTGAAAAGTCTCAATTCTTCCTCTAAAGAACTAGTAGCTTAAGCAGTACTGCTGATATGTTATGCTGTAATTCTCCTTTCCTTCTGAGTTTACTGAATAGGTTTTCACAATATCATCTTGGTGTGCCTCAGCTTGTTGGATACAATAGCATTTTGAGCTTCTAACAGAACATGATTTACTCCTTGCACTCCTTTTGAGGGTAACACCTCCCTCATTTATGGCTTGCTAGCTGATATCAATCACATATCAAAAATTAACTTATAATCTCATACAGTTGTTCAGTAAATTGTTGATTAAGTTCATGGTTAAAGAACATTGCTTGTCATACACCATTAATACCTTTTTCAGGTGGCTATGCATGACCTCAGGGCATTTATAAACTTGTTAATTATGGTTAAAACTTCCATAATCGAGGTGTGGTGGCAGACAATAATCATTTGGGAATTATGTAAGGATAGTTGAATATAGCCTGAAATATACTGCCTCAGATTATCATTGTTGATAAAGGACAATAGCTGTTATGATTACAACACATATTGCTCATAATATTAGAGCAATTCTCTTTGTTTATGGTGAAGTTAGAACAAAGGGGGCTTAAGATTGAGATTTTTATAACTGAATAGTTGGATTCCTTACAATTAAAATTCATCTGATTTAGCTATCTTTTCAAAAAGTAAAGGAGTAAGAGTCAAATCCTTTAGAGTGGCGTATAGTTAATCCCACTTCTGCTCATGCTACATTAGAAGGACTGGGTGGATTGAAGTATAACACAACCAAATGATCAATTACGAGATTCTCATCTTATGGGTTGGAGTCCATATTGAAATAAACTGATTTACAAGAAAGGATTGGATGTGGCAGCCCCCTGTAGCGAACACCACAATTTAGTGCGCAGAAAACGCACACTACTGCATAGTAATAGTTACCCCTTGAACTTCTTTCATTAGTTATTGGTTATATGACCTTTGTCCCCTGTCACAGCCATTTTGCAGAATATTTTACAGAAAGCTATAAATATAAAATGCTTCAGCTCCTGGGCTATTAAATCTCTACTCCAGGAACAAGTTCAAAAAAACTAGATAAAGTTAACCAAAAGGAAGTTTATTAGGATAAACATGGTGAATATTTATAATCAATATCCCAGTCAAAGATCAACAATTTTTCTGATGTTAGTACTTTTTTATTTAACCGAGGCAAGCCAACCAGGGGACAGGCATTACCGAAAGAAAGAAATGAAAGAAAGAAACGACATGAAACCTGAACAGGGTCAACTCCATCGAAGAAAGTTTTTCCACCTCCAGATCGGGACTCAAATTTTTCTGGTTACGTCATGGGTAAGGTTTTCGTGTTATTAGACCTACTAACCGCCAATAGCTTCCTTTGGCTGGCACCCCAATCAATGTGCGAAGATGGGAATTGAACCCACAACCTTCAGGTTGGTAGCCGTACGTCCTTACCGACTCGCCTTCCACCCCTTCCTGATGTTAGTACTATAATCAATAGAAAGTACAATGGGTATAATGGGTACAATAGGAATTATTGCACCCATTTACAGGTAAAAGAAAATTTAGTTAATGAGAACCAATGCATGTAAATTCTTGGAATGCTTGGGAGGCCTAGAAGATAAGGGAGGCGACAGTACAGCTTGATAACTGGGAGGGTAACGTTCACTTTTATTAAATTTGTTAATAAATAGAAGAAAGTTTTTTTTAAGTTGAGTCAAAATCTCTGACAACATCATAGGAGAGAAGTAATGGTAAATATTGTAGGAAGCAAAGCGGACAAGAGGTTTTTATAATATTATAATTTGGATTAGGCAGTGCAACTCTGTCATTGAAATATGTACACTTCTAATTCCTAAGTAAACTTTTTGTCGAACTTTTTGGATAGCAATATCATACATGTATCATTTTCAAAGTAGCTAGCAAACCATCAGCGCTCGTATACCAAATCTCACTTAGTAGTTCTCACTACATGTGCCACTACTCCAATCATCACTATAACTTTTAACCTACCTGGGCCATGGCGGTCTAATCTAACCCTGGGCGTTAATTTTAAAAATCCCTTCAAATACTAACTCTAATCTTTTAAATGCCACCTTATTTAGATTACAGTTTTGGTTAATGATAAGCTTTACCAGCTTGTGAAGAAATTTGTAGCTGTGGGAAGTTGCGCAGATTAACACCAACTTGTGATTACCTAAAACACCTGATACTCCATTCAGTAAAATAGATTATATGGAAATAAAGGTGAGCTAGATATCCTGCATAATAGAACTAGTGATCTTTATCATGATAAGTTTTTCTTTTTGATAGAATGTGTCACTTCCTTGAATGATATAAGATTTTTGGAAGGCTAGATAGATGCTGAAAGTATTAGTCACTGGAGATCCTACCATAAAATTAATAAACTGAGGATAAAATTTGAGGATTGCGACGCTAGTGTAGTCAAAACAAGAGAAAACATCTCCATGGAGCTTTGGATAAACCCAGGATAGTAAAGGACATGCTTTAAATATTGTCTAAGTTCCATGGATAAAAAAATCTCATAGTGGGAACCCTCATTGCTTACTGAAATGCCACGCACATGATGATTAGTGTATGTATGCCCTCTAGTGACAAGAACACTCCGCCACCTTACATCTTCTCTCCTTATACTGATTAACCAATTAAAAAACAGGGGTGAACCCATCTGCACCAAGGTTGTGCATCCCAGTTGAGGACAAACATCTTTTTTTGACCAATAACCCTTAACTAGGATGAAAATATACATTGCTTTTATGAGTTCGAGTTTTCTTTCAAAAGGAGCATCAGAACAGCACAAAAACAGACTTTTTAATCTTTACCCTTGACGTCAAATGTGATTACAAGTCATATGTTACTTAGAGAATGGCTCAGTTTCCTATCAGAAGGTCACAAACTGTGCTGGAATTCTTTGGATGGACTGAGAATCTGGCACATTACAAGGATGACATCCTCCATATGCTTCCAATTCTATGAGACCCTCACAGAATTTTAAGTTTGATTTATCCAAGAGGCCCACCTTTTAGTAAAGTGTGGAAATTTTATTTTAAGCCAACGTGGGCTTGGAAATGACCTTAACCATATAGAAAAATTGAAAAATCTACAATGTGAGACACTAAATTACAAAGGAGTATGTCCCCGATCAAAATGATCAAATGCCTACAGCAATTTGTTACTACTGTCTTTTTCCAAAATTTGGATATAAATCTTTTGTCCCTGTTGAATTATTAACTAGATTGGAAGACTTTTTAGAAGTATTATAAATTAATATCAACCTAGGCTTTGCATCTATATTTGTTAAGTTTTAGCTGACAATGAAAACTAGATGGCTTAACAAGGGAATTTGAGGATAAAAACTCGATTTACAAATAAAATACTGTATAAATAGGAAGTAGATACTCTGATAATCCTCAATAGATGTTGGAATTCAGGGTTTGGTTAGCTCGCTAGTGCGTTTTCACACCTGAATTACAACACATATTTGCCGGAGATGTTGGTTCTCTACTGTGGGATAGATAATAAGGGGTTATCGACCACTTTATAATTAGAAATATTAAAGTATTCAAGGTGGACTGACCTTGGGACAAATATACAACGCCAAGAATTTTTTAGCAAGTACAGGTTTAGAGCTTTTATTGAACAAAACCTGAACTAGGGTGGAAGCAGGAATTACCCTGACAGGCTAACCACCCTTAATTAGAAATATTATAACTTCAACTAAAAATAAAAGATTGATAATTTATATATTTTTATTAGTTGCAATAAGGGGGTCAAGAAGCAAACCCTATTAGTAAATTGATGCTTAGTATCTAAATTGTATTGAAGCTTGAAGTGACTCGGATGGAAAATTTGGTATAAGCTGGTTGCATCCAAATTAGGTAATATGGGCTTTTGACCTATCAGAGCTCTCAAGACTCACCTCACTTGGATGAAACGACCAATGGAGGATTGGTAGCAGGTAGGACATATCTGTGAGGGTGTGATTTAATATATTTTACTTTAATCATTGGGTGGGAAAATATTTGCCCTTGGTGAAACCCCCTCCAAGGCTATAAAAGGGGGTGGTCAAGGAGTAGGTGTTGGGACTACGTTAGAGAGGGGATGGAGAGGATCCTTGGAACAACCTCCTCAATTTTGCTGCAGGTTCAGCGTAACCCTGCTAATAGCCATAGGGTAAATTGGCCAAGGATTGGGGGCAATTGTATTACTCCAATTGTGGGGTTCCACTAAGAAATGATCAGGGTTTTTTGGCCAATGTTATTTATTTTGAAACCCAAATCATTCATAGTGCAATATTAGACTTGTAATTGTCCAACAATAGAAAACCAAGAAACTCTTATACGCTCAAATTTCTTAAGTCTACTGGCTATAAAAAATATGAGACCCTCTGTTTTCATAACCAAAAATAGGAAAGACTCCCAATAGCTGGGACTACTTCTCTGTTAGGTATATATTTAGTACTTCTGTTTGAGAAGTAAGTAGACACACTACTTATCTAATATAAACAATAAATAACATATAGGAACAATAGATGACAATAGATGGCAAATGATAATCAATAAACAATAAAGTAGTAGATATTAATGACCAAAATCATGTAATGGTTTTATAATTAGTCAGGCGCCATTCTTATATACCTCTTGGACATCTCCTGGCTGAAATCATCGATTAAATGAGCTCATTCATATTATGCCAATCTTCTGCTGATCATGGCAATACCTATGAATAAATCATGAAGTCGATTTGGTCCATGAATTGACTAAATGACAATCATATCAGCCTGATTGAAGGCAATTTTAACTCATAATAAGGTGGATTTTAGGTTGCATTAATGACATTTAGTCAGCGTAAAATCATCCCAAAACCAGGCCAATTGGAGCTACGTCAGATCTTGACGAAAAAAAGTTGGGGAAAAAGATAAACAAAAATAAAACATGACATACTCAAAATCAAAAAAGCAGGCTTCTCATAGCACTAGGTGCCAATTCTGAGAAATTAGTCGCTTATTAGTTAGGTCCTGCTTCAAATGTTGGGAAAAACCTTTTGGCTGATATATCCTCATTTTTTAAGCTTCTTATGGTATTCCTAACCGTCTGAAGCTCACAAGGCCTTAAAACAATATTGACCCTTTGGGTCTCTTCTTGGATTATTTCCTTTTTCATAATTGGGAACATATTCTTATGCAGGTAAAAAATACAATCTTCCTAATGCTTGTTAACACTCTTAATACAAACTTAATACTTCAACAATATCACCAAAAATACATATGGTATAAGCAAATGATAATCGATTGAAGTTCAGATGAATGATTATAGGATGATCTTTTATTGATAGGCCAGGCACCAGTATTTTATAACACTTGGGAATCTCCTGGCCATACTCATCTATTAGTTGAGTTCATCAAAATTATGCCAATCCTTTACGGATTATAGCAGTGATTACTAATAATTCCCCAAGTTAATCTGGCCCTTAAATCACCTTAATTACAATTATCTCATCCCAATTGAAAGCACTTCTACTCTCATAAGAAGGAGGTTTTTGGGCGTAATGTTAGCACATCAGAGGTGTATATTTACTTTAAGATCAGCCTGATTAAAATTTCATCAAGATAACTGATGAGATCAATAAAAGAGGAAAGTATAAAATAGAATTTGAGTAATGCTGCACCCAAAATTGGGACGTCAGCAGGCCTCTTGATAGCACAAGATAATCCCTATTTTGGGTAGTCTATGTCTAAGTGCTATCATGCCAATTATTAAGATCAACATACAAAATCTCATTATGCATTAATTGTTATTGCATTAAAATTTGTAAGTGCAATTAGGTTATGCCATAGCACCTAATTATTACACCCAAATGGATCCAAAATCAGTATATTATAATTTATATCATAGCTATCATTACTATGATAATTGGGATGTTTACATGCATATAAGGTGGTTATAAGATAACCCTAATTTATCATATTATGCAGATAAATTGGGAAGGATCTAGAGTCCCATCAATGGAAGTAATCTATCAGCATTGATGGTTCTCTCAAAGGGTTTGCTTCCTGAGTCAATCACCAAAATCTAACATTTCCCTCACTTGAAGGGAATAGGACCCTGAGTTTCCTGATTTTCTCCTCGATGTCTGTCAAAAGTTCATCCTTCACCAGTTGTCGTTATTTGGGAAATATTAATCCCAAAAAGCGTCAACAGTTTTTACATTTTTCTTGTAAAATGAGGCTACAACTAGTATATGTTTCCATGAGAGAACCTGAACTAAGCAAGCTGATCTCTGCGCTCACTGTTATCACTTCTACTCAGCCCAATACCATTATCAAAGAGGAGGTTACTCAGTCAGGAGAAATCACCATTAAATCTACAAGGTACAACCTCATAAGCAAACCGCTTTAGATATTCAAGTGGAACCTTTTGGTCATATTTTAATCCTAGAAGATCCAGATTTA